AATTTAGGATTACTTGATATTTCAGTTTTAAAATTTTTCATACGTTTAACGAAACATTTTTTATCATATGCTTTTATTCTGATCTGAGTTCTTTGTATTTTTGCAAATAAGTTAACTTATTTTTTCCTTTTTTTTATGGTATTTGTGTTTTAGTATATTTTTTTACAATTTCTTTAGAAAACTTAATTTTTAATATTTTTTTATGTGATACAGTCTGATCTAATAAATTATACAAAGTGCTGTAAAACTTGGTTACACAGACTACTTGAGTTCAAAATATTGACCCAATTACATTGACTTAGCAAATAGTAAAATCTAACATTATCACTTTTCCTAAATTCATTTTTTTTTATGTTTGATGTGTTGAGTGTACCGGGTTTAATGATTCCCTATACATTTACATTTAACTTATTACCAAGACTGTAGTGAACTGCTTGCCTGAAAGGTGCTGGTTTTACTTCGTCTGTGTAGAAAATTAAAAGGCCGGCTACAATAATTCACACCATTTAATCGAAATTCTACGAACTGTTCCATCAAAAACGAATATAAACTATTTACATGACTATTGCCACACTATCATGGGAAAAGTAATCACACTGTGCCTACATTTCTGCTTTTTAAAATTGTTATACTAAATTTAACATGGCGGATTGACGCCCGGTTGACCAAGTTTTTAACAACGGCAAAAAACAGATATTTTGTCGTTGAGAGAGAAGGATCTTCTGAACATGGAGGAAGGATAATTAAGAGTTGCAGTTTCTTTGTATAAATGTGGCAACATGTTTGCTATCAGCGCCAAATGGGAGGGATTTGTCCAACTATTTCTCAGTCGGTAATATAGATACCTGCATATTTTATTTAAAAATTAGCGGGATTTTGTTTGTACACTCCGCGTCATTTAAAAGTGGTACAACTCTTATAACGTAAAATCGTGTTTTTCGAGCTGTGTAAATTGATCTTTTAGAATGTGTCAATAGTCGTTTTCTTTTTACAACTGACGTCAACCATAAACCATCACAGAAAGTGAGTGTTCTGTGCATCATATGAACAAACATATACCATGAATTCATTATTTTAGAGAGAATAAAAGACTATGATAACAGGGGGTGAGATTTGTAGTGTTGACTGTTGAAAAAATTATAAAATTTGATTAAAATATGGATTGTTTTTAAACGAATAGCATGGGGCACGTCACCTGTCAACCAAAATTCGCGTTCTTTTTACAGTTAAGCTTAGATCAGAATCTAACTTTTAGTTAGTCAAGTATGCTTGTAAAAAGAAAACGACTTAAACTATTTTATAGGCTATACATTTTAGGACAACGTTGCCAGCACAACGAAAATATTAGTAGAAGTAAATAAATTTTGTAAAGAAATAAAACGTACTGGAAAAATAAAAAAGGTATTTTAACATTAATGCAAAAAGAATAACTTAAAAATTTATAATTAATAAGCGTGAAATTTAAATACATAAGAGAATTCGAAACATAAGAAATAAATAGATTAATATCTTGTCATAGCTCCATTATTATTTAAAACTTCTTCTAATTTTCTGGGCATTGAATTGATTAAATTTATTGATAAATTTTCCTCTTCTGCCAAGCTTTCCCAGGTTTCTTGAATGAGGCTCCATAAATGTTCTTTGTTTCGAGGAGTTACATTTAATTTTTGTAATTTTTTGACCATAAGTCCCCAAAAGTTTTCGATCGGATTCATATCTGGACTTTTAGAGGCCCATGGAAGCGTTTCAATATTATTTTCATCAAGATAATCGCGTACACGGTGAGCGATATGTACTGAGCAATTATCATGCTGGAAAATAAAATTATTGTTGGGGAAGATTTCCCTAACCGATGGCAACATTACATTATCTAAAATGTTTATATAGTTCATCGCATTTAATCTTCCTTCGATTCTCCAACACATTTTTAAACTTCCTCTATACATCCAAGCCCAAACATTTATAGAGAATCGTCCGGACTTATCATTTGAAGAAATATAATTTTCATTAAATCTATTTCGAGGCGGTCTATAAACTCGAATACGGCCATCATGATGTGATTGGAACACTTTTTCGTCAGAAAAAATTACCCGACCCCAAAAATGTATTGTATCATTTAAAACATAATTTAAGGCAAATATAACTCTACTTTGCTTATTTACTTCACTAAGCTTGTATTTTCGGGCGGCTACACAATTCTTTAAATCAGTTTTTCTAATTCTTCTTAATGCTGTTGTTACTGAAGCATTAAAATTTGTGTCAATTTTCGCCTGTCTTACCGTATTGAAGGGATGTTCCCTTAAATAATTAGTTAAGGTTTCATCCTGTTGTGGTGTGGTTATAACTAGTCTCCCAGTCCCTCCTTTTCTGTCCACAGTTTGATTGTTGTCGAATTTTTTTTTTAATCTTCTGAATTGTCGTTTTGCTTCTGTTATACTCTTGGGCCAATTGTCTAATAGACCAACCATCTTCTATTTTTGAAATTATTCTCATTTTATCAAAATTACTTAATTGAGCTGGCATCGTAACAATGCGCTGTGACAAATCTGACAAATTGTCATTTTTAAAAATCAAGTTGGTTTTACATTGGGAAAAATAAGTGTACTACTTTTATATGACGCGAAGGTAGCTCTACTTTAATGCGCTGGTTCAGTGATGATGTAATTATGGTTCCACTGACAATTAAAGTGACAGTAGATTTTTGAGTGCGTTTTGTTCGTTTTGGTTACCTAAATTATATCGTTTTTTCACTTTTATAAATATATTTCTAAAGTAAGTAGATGACATGCATCAAATATACAATTGTTTAGTTACCAATTACATACCTTTAAACTATTTTTTGTGAACTCTAAACAATATTTAGAAATAAACAAAAACAGTAAAAGCGTATATGTCAAATTTATTTATGTTTTTGTTAAAAGTTTGGTTAGAATTAAATGTCAGTGGAACCAAAATGACATCACACTGAACCAGCGCATTAGTATAACTAAAATTTTGCATTTTTATTGGCATTTTTTACAACACAGACAGGGTGCAAGATGTAACAAAATGCCAATCAAAATGTAAAATTTTATGACCCATAATTTTAGGAAGGGTAAAATAATGTAATATAAAATAATTGTATTATCATTATATCATTAAAACTAATTTATAATAAATTTTCTAAATAAACAATATTTTAAGAAAACAACTAAAACTTTCTGTAAACTTGGGTAGGTAAAAAAACATGAAGGAGAACCATCCATATAATCTGAAACAGAAAAAATTCAAAGTAGTATTTTAACTTCATATCATTTTGAATCTCTTTTTTCTTTTAGACATTGTCACAGTTTTATACTTTCATTATAATATTTTATAATTAATAATGGTAGTCTCTCCATCTTTTTTAATTAGATGTAGTACTTTTAGAGTACTTTTAAAAAAACAGATGTCTACTGTATCAAGCTTTGAGGTCCTTCTTTGATTCGCAAATTTTACTTTGCTGTTTTCTAATTTTAAAATAGAGTTTTTTCTTTCTTGGTTTGATTTAAAAATCCAAGATCTAATTATTGTTTTTTAGGTAATAATTATATTTCATTGGATGAAATTTTAATCGAATGTAACTTTCTTTTCACTGGTAATTTGTTTGACAGTATGATAACAATATTACTTTAGTATTACTCTTTACTGTTAATTTAGCTTTCAGGGGTACCAAAGGTAAAGCCAATTTACAGTCTTGTAACCTATAAATGGTTTTTCGCAAGTGGAATGATGAAGTTTATGCGGCATCATTTAGTTCCTTGCTTAATGTCGGAAGGAAATAAAAAAATGTGTTCTTAAACTTTACAGCATAAATTGTACTATTTACCTTTATACAAACAACGCTATTACAATTAGATATTATGAATTTATTACGAACAGGACCTGCTAAACACATGTTAAAACATCAAAATATCTTTGCTTAATTTTAAATTTAACATGTTTAACTAAAACTAAAATTAAATAAAAGTAAAAGTATTTACCACGTTTTATTCAGCAACCATAACCATATTGTTCTGTTCAGTTTTGTTATTGTATCGGTTCGAACGGGTAACAATCCCAAAGTCAGATTTACATTGTACAAATAAATGATCAATTCATGTTTTTCAAATAATTGTAGTATTTATATAAATATATAATTTTAAAACAATACTTACCGTGTATTACTTTTGTAATTAAGCGAAATATATTTGAATTATTCACTTTAAATTTAAATATCATTTTATTATTGTAAAACGGACTGATAACCTGTTGATATAACGCGCATATGTTATAAGCCCCTCTGCTTCTGGAGATCGCGCCGAAGGCAAGCGTTCCTTGGATAACGCGTCAGACCAATTGCTGAGGTGGGAACTAATCACATGACTCGTGACGTAGATTGCGTAATGACCACGAGAATTCTAAGCTTGCCAGAGTTGGACTGAGAATTTGTGTGCCCAAATTCAAATTGTTAAATTAAAATATTTATTGTGCTAAAATCTAAATTCATTATGTTGAAGGGCTTCTTCAATATGATGTATTTAAATGAAATGTTCAAGGAGGGTGATATATCACAGCTTTAACTAAGGAGCATTCTGAGACAGTTATTCCATTTGCCTCTGAAATATTGAAGTCTCCTATTAAAACAAAAAAAAACGTTAATTTTCAACATAAAGGCATTTGACACTTTCAAGTGAGTCTTATTACTTTTTATAATATAGATTAGAAGATCCAGACCTAATATGCAAACAATATAATATAGTTATTTCTACATTTTCTCTTTTTATTGCTACACACATTTTCGAGTACTTGGACACTTTTGTACATGGGCAATTTTGTATCTAGTTTTAGACGATTTGTTCTACGTTGTAGTGTTATGAGTGACTTTAATGATTTTGCAAGTTTTTATGAGCTTTGTGAGTGGTAAATTTTCTTCATATTTACCAATGCGACTCTTATTTGACTTAAAAAAATAATTCTTTTGATCAAATATTTCATTTCAGATTCTTACTGGAAGCGGAGACTCAACCTGTGCCCTATGGGATGTTGAGTCTGGTCAACTTTTGCAAAGTTTTCATGGACATTCTTCAGATGTAATGGCAATAGATTTAGCTCCATCAGAAACCGGAAATACTTTTGTATCAGGCGTAAGTAATAAATAGAAAACATATTATGATCTTATATTTTTTTAAGGTTGAAATTGGAACTATGTTATACAGTTGCCGCGTTTGAATATCCACATCCGATGCATTTTTTACATCTCGAGCGTTTGTTTATCCACATCGGACACATCTGTCCTACTACATTTACGTATATTGAATCACGTGATTAAAGATTTACAACATCTCAGATGCATCCGATGTGGATATTCAAACGCGGCAAGTAAATCTACGTAAGTTGGCTATACGAAAAAAAATATTTAAAAAAATTATCAAATTTATCAAAAAAATGTATTATTTATAAAAAAATGTGCATGGTCTAAAACTTAAAATGCAACCAACCATCAGATATCAAATTTTATGAGTCGTATGCGAGGTTTGTCAAAAAAATTAAAGAGTAAAGTACATTCCTTTTTGACAAACCTTTTTGAATTATAAAATTTGATATTTGATGGTTTTATTTTAGGGTTTAGAAGAATAATTTTTTTTTCTATAATTTAATAATAAAAAAGTTTTCCATATGCCGCCAACTATTTACGTAAGTTAGCAGCATATGGAAAACTTTTATTCTTTATAAAAAGTTCTTCATGACTTAAAACCTAAAATTTAATCATCTAATACCAAATTTTATCAGTCTTATATGAGGGTTGTCAAAAATAAAGGTACTTTTACTCTGAGGAAAATTTATATTTTTGACGCACCTCGTATATAAAACATGTAATATCTGATGGTTGAATTTTAGGTTTTAGACTATGCAGAACTTTTTAAAAAGAATATTTTTTTTTGATAAAACTAATAAAAAAGTTTTCCGTATGTAGCCAACTTACGTAGACCCAGAGTATATTATTATAATAATACGAATTTTATGGACCTACGCTGATTTTATCAAACAAAAACTAATCGATTCCAATATATTCTTTTGTCACCAGATGTGATGCTTTTAAAAATAAATTTCACAGATTTACTTAGTGTATAAAAATTTCACTACTAGTAATTAAAGAGAGAGCTATAGATAAATTTCTTCTTTTTTTGTGTTATGTTAAAACTTGCTTTTTGCACGCTGCTTTTCTCGCACAGACTACATTATTGACAATATTTAGTTATAAGCTCGTTATTATAAACAAAAAAAAAACAAAATTTCAAACCCATGTATCATAAAATAACACAAGCCACCGTTTCCGTCCTGGAAACAACTTCTCCTTTGGATGATACCACAACAGGCATTGAATTATAGTCAAAGAAAAACAGCAGAAATAGAAAGTTATTTTCATCACTCCAAATTTGATTTTATTTACTAATAGGAATGTGACGGTATTTGTGTAAAGTTATTTTGGAGCAGTATTTCTTTGAAGCGTAGCGTCGCGCTCTTCGACTAAAAAATACCCGTTATACGTTCTACATCGGATGCATTTTTTACATCTCGAGCGTTTGTTTATCCACATCGGACACATCTGCTACATATACATCTGCGTTTGTTTATCTGAGATGTACCTGTCAGAATACATTTTTTACATCTCGATTTGAAATCAGATGTGAATGAGATGTTCGTTCCATGTCAGAAAGTAAGTGTTCTGTGAAGCCAAGTTTGTCAATTTATACTTTGTTCATGCTAGTATGAATATAAAAGTGATTAGTTTGTTTAATTTTTGTTTAGATTTCAAATGTAGGTTGATTTGTAGTCTCAAAAGTCAAATTTAAAAAGTATAAACTTCTAACTTGTCATTGTCATTTTATCATATAACCAATAAAGTCTTGAGCGTTTGTTTATTACATCTACATTCAGGTCTAATTCTCTATCACGTGAATTCAAGTGAAACATCTCAGATGCATCCGATGTGGATATTCAAACGCGGCAACCATACCAAGTCTTACCCTCATCTAGGAATGGGTCTGTATTTGAATATCGCGATTTTGAAGCGGTAATTTAATTGAACCATTCTATTGCGCTGTTGTATCAAAATATTATAGTAGCGTTGTATGAAGATATAGTAGGATAACGCTACAGTAAAAAGTGTTGGATGCAATCTCGAGCGCCATCTAGTGACGATATAATGAAGTAGTCCATTTTTAATGCTGTCTTCTTTTCGATGAGGCACGTGGCCACTACTTTGTATCACCTACCTATTAAAGTTAAAAAAATCTTTATTTATTTAAAAAGAACAATTCATGATAAAAGACAAAAAAATTAAACATAATAATGAAAATTTATTTCAATTGACAAAACCGTACAATTACAATTTTTGGATGAAGGGGATAAAAAGTGGTTAAGGACTTTGGTCAATATATTGGTTATGTGCGGTTATGTCAATATGCAGGGTGTCCCAAAATTCCGTGTACATAGATCTACTGTATGTTGGTGAGATCAAAATAAGTCGATTGAGCCAAAATTACCTATATCACAAAGTCCATCGTTTGCCTGTGAGGAAGCTTCAAAGTTGGAAGAAAATTTTCAATTTTTTTTAATAACACAAAAACGCTTCGTTCGATTTTTATAAAATTTGGTGTGTAGCTATTTTAATTGAAGAGCCATTATTCAAAGCAAAAATTACACCAACTGAAATTATGGAAAGGTAAAAACCACCCTAATCCTACCATAAATGACATCGTATTTTTTTTCAGGGCCGCCCCTGTTCCCTAAATTTTTTTTGTGGAGAGGTATATTTATTTGTAGCATTTTTTCTCTCTTGCAAAAAACATGTATCTCTCATGGTATTTGAGTAAAAAAAATTTTATGGACTGATGGTTAGTCACTTAAAATTTTCAAGAAAACTAAGTTGGCGGTTACTACTGCAACCCGAACACGATTTTAACGTTATTACAATAAAACAATCATTAATAGGCATAGGCATCTATTGAAAAATAACAATTCGAAAAGAAGGATAATTTTTTTTTACAATAAATGTTCAATATGGCCACCTCCTTCGTTCATGCAGATTTCAATTCGGCGCAAGAAATTGAAGTGTACCCTTCTCAAAATGCCTAGATCATTTTGCATAGAGTTCACAGCAGTTTGAATCCTACCCCATAATTGTTCAATGTTGTCGATAGGAACTTCATAAACTTTGGTTTTCAAGTGACCCCAGATAAAGTAATCACAAGGATTACAGTTCGGTGATCGAGGTGGCCACTGAATAGGAGCATCCCGACCTCTGCTAATCCATCTTCCATGGCATTGTTCGTTTAAATAATCTCTCACAATGCGGGAAAAATGCACCATCGTGAATAAAAAACATGTCACGGCGTAAATTGAGCGGTAAATCTTCTAACAGTTGAGGCAAATCTTGACGTAGAAAATGCAAGTAACTGGTAATCTAAATGGACCAATCAAGTAGGTGTCAATAATACCCACCCACCCATTAATTTTAAACTCTCGTTGAAAGTGTTTCTCTTTAATGGCATGTGGATTTTCATCTGCGTAAACATGTTCGTTATGTTAATTTGTTATACCACGTCGTGTAAAGCATGACTCGTCTGTAAACAAAATTATTCTGTGAAAAACTGGATCGGCCGCTCTGTGCTCTTGAATAACTTGTACAAAATGCAAACGAGGCTCATAATCAGGAGGTAGGAGTTCCTGGACACTTTGAATGTGAAAGGGATACATAAGTTGTTCTCTAATTATTCTGTTGGATGTGCTTTTTGAAATCCTAGTTTGGCGTGTCAGTCGTCGGGTACTAATTCCGGGATTATTTTCAACTATTTCAAGTATTCCCTCCTCTGCAGCAGGAGTTCTAACATGACGAGGTCTTCCAGCATTATTTCTGTTCGGTTTCAGTTGACCAATTTCTCGAAGTCGCCTCTCGATAGAAGTAAAAGTCTGGTGATTCGGAATCTGTCGATTTGGAAATCTTTCATGGTATACCCGAACACTCTCACGGCAGTTGCCATTACAGAAACCAAGCACTAGCAACATATCAGTTTGTTCATTGAATGTGTACTCCATACCAACCACAAAATGTTTGAAATAACTCCTTCACAAAAACTTTAAATCGAAACAGAAAAATACAATACATACATAAAATGAGTAGTATCGACAATTTTTACAGTTCTACAACATACATATCTGTCAAAATTATCAAATTGTTTATAGTAACGTTGACAACCGCCTACTTAGTTTTCTTGAAAATTTTAAGTGACTAACCCTCAGTCCATAAATTTTTTTTTACTCAAATACCATGAGAGATACATGTTTTTTGCAAGAGAGAAAAAATGCTACAAATAAATATACCTCTCCACAAAAAAAATTAAGGGAACAGGGGCGGCCCTGAAAAAAAAATACGATGTCATTTATGGTAGGATTAGGGTGGTTTGTACCCTTCCATTATTTCAGTTGGTGTAATTTTTGCTTTGAACAATGGCTCTTCAATTAAAATAGCTACACACCGTTTTACAAGCGTTTTTGTGTTATTAAAAAAATTGAAAATTTTCTTCCAACTTTGAAGCTTCCTCACAGGCAAACGATGGACTATAGGTAATTTTGGCTCAATCGACTTATTTTGATCTCACCAACATACAGTAGATCTATGTACACGGAATTTTGGGACACCCTGTATATAAACAATAACAATGTCCAATGTTTTAACTAAATTGAAAAGTTCAAAGAGAAATAAGCTTCTGAAAATGTTTTTATAGTTTTCAAAATTCGAACAAGCTTTTCTACAAAATTTCATCAAAGCTATCAACAGTTTGCAAGAAATTGAGTTAAGTAAGGAACAAGGAAATCATTAATCAGGGAAAAATCAATCCATAACACTGGAAAACAAATGTATATTGGCTGTTGTTCATGAATATAAGAAAAAAAGGTTCTCTGGGCTGACTCTGAGTGTTGAAATAAATCACCTTGAAAGGAAGTTTTCTATAGCTCTGATCTTTGTTTAGGAACAGCTCAAGACGAAATCGATAGACCTACAAGTGGTATATCTGTGGCAGAAATTTTCAATTAGTCTTTATATTTTATATGCAATACAAGTTCAACAACTTGTCAAAAT